CGAATCCATGCTGCAGTATCTTTGGACGAAGTTCTGTTGACATCCGAAGATTGATAAGGACATGAACAGTTGTCCCAGAACTGCAGAGATTGTCGTCACTCGCACTGAAGGATCCAAATCGAAACTGCAAATTAACAATTACAACAACATTAATTTAATCTTATGATTAAGAATTCAATGCAAATTGTAAAGTATACTATAGAAGAAATACAATGAACATAAATTTAGGGAAAATCTTCATAATTGTAAGTAACTAATTGTAATTTCACAAAAATTATCAATATTTTAATGAAGCAAATCCTAATTTAGAATATTTGTTATTAAGGAAGAAAACAACAGAAAATTAAATGTAAAATTGAAGAAATTACAACAAAATTTTATAAATTCAAATCTTCTTTAAAATTTCATGTATAAAAAATTATTTAAATTGTTTATTAATTGTAGTGCAAAATTAATAAATAAAATGTATAAAAAATTGTTATATTTTATAAACTAAAATAATTGAAAATTGTTTAATAAAAAAAACATAAAAAAATAAATAAAAAATGGAAGAAATATGTGAAATTTTGATAATAAATAATAGAAACTTAACTAATTATCGAAAAATGTATATAATTTCACAAAAATCATCAATATTTTAATGAAGCAAATCTAAATTTACAATTTTTGTTATTAAGAAAGGAAAAACCAGGAAAAGTAAATGTAAAATTGAAAAAGTTACAACAAAATTATATAAAATAAAATCTTCTCTACAATTTCATGTATATAAAATGATCATAATTCTTTATTAATTGTACAGTAAAATTAATAAAGAAATTGTGTACAAAATTGTTATATTTTTAAACTAAAATAATTGGAAATTGCTCAACAAAAAAGAAGATAAAAACATTAAAAAATAATATAAAATGGAAGAAATCAGTGAAATGTTGATAATAAATAATAGAAACTTAACTGATTATTAGAAAAAGTATATAATTTCACAAAAATTATGAATATTTTAATAAATTCAATTTAAATATACAATTTTTGTTATTAAGAAAGAAAAACAACAAAATTAAACGTAAAATTGAAGAAATTACAACAAAATTATATAAATTTAAAAAAAATCTCAAAAATTTCATTTTTATAAAATTATCTTAATGCATTGTATAAAATTGTAAGTAACTAATTATAATTTTATAAATTAAGTAATAAATAATGTAAACTTAACTAATTACCAAAAAAGTAAGTAATTTCACAGAAATTATCAATATTTTAATGAATTCAATATAAATTTACAATTTTTGTTATTAAGAAAGAAAGAAAAAAACACAAAATTGAAGAAATTACAACAAAATTATTTAAATTCAATACCAATCTTCTCGAAAATATCATATATATAAAATTATCTTATTGTATTCTATAAAATTGTAAGTAACTAATTATAATTTCACAAATTAGGTAATAAATAATGTAAACTTAACTAATTACCAAAAATGTATATAATTTCACAAAAATTATCAATATTTTCATGAATTCAATCTCATTTTACAATTTTTGTTATTGAGAAAGAAAGAAAAAATACAAAATTAAATGTAAAATTGAAGAAATTACAACAAAATTATATAAATTCAATAAAAATCTTATCGAAAATTATCTTATTTTTTTAATTAATTGTAGTGTAATATTAACAAAGAAATGATTAATTGTTGTGTAAAATAAATAAAGAAAATGTATATAAAATTGTTATATTTTATAAACTAGTATAATTGGAAATTGTTCAAGAAATAAAAGAAGGTGAAATGGAAGTAATCAGTGAAATTTTGTTAATAAATAATAGAAAATATAACTAATTATTAAAAAAAATATATAATTTCACAAAAATTATCAATATTTTAATGAAACAAATCTCATTTTATAATTTTTGTTATTAAGAAAGGAAGAAATTATAACAAAATTATATAAATTAAAAAAAAAATCTTCTCAAAATTTATTAATTGTAATGTAAAAATTATAAAGAAAATGTATACAAAATTGAAGAAATCAGTACCAATAATAGAAATAACAGAAACTTAACTAATTATCAAAACAAGTATTTAATTTCACAAAAATTATTAATATTTTAATGAATTCAGTCGAAATTGTAGTGTAAAATTAAAAAAGAAAATGTATACAAAATTGTTATAATTTTGAAACTAAAATAATTGGAAATTGTTAAACGAAAAAATTATAAATTATTCATTTGAAATCTATATAATTTAATGTAATAAATCGAGCGAAATAATAACAAACAAAAAATGTATAAACGTATAAATTATTGACAGGACAATTAGAGATATGCGCGCACTCAAATGATCCGCGATAATTACAGCATCGAATATTTATAAATTCGTTTCCATTTCGATTATTTGTTTAAAACTCATTGAAGTTTTAAATTAATAATTGTCGAGGGTTTCGCGACCGAAACACCACCACCACCACCCACACTCCGCATTATTAAAATTAAATTCAGTTCTCCGCAAACAAACCACTCACCGAATGAATCATTACGTGCAATTTACATTTTAATGCAATTTTCAGTAATTAATTGTGATATGTTCTTTCTCTAGATTGGTTTTTCGTGATGTGATTGATCGTTTTCCATTAGTTTTCTGTGTACAAATAATATTTAATAAATTTATTTCAATTTATTAGTTTGTGCTCTCAAAAAGATACATAAACCTAGTTTTAGGTGCCCCCACGTTAGTCACCAAAAAAATTGGTGATTTTTATTCAACACTTTATAATTCTTGTATTATTTCAAGACACAAATGACAAATTGTTTATTTCAATTGATAAATATTGAAGAAAATATGAGATTTACTTTAAACTAATTGCTAAAAAAATTGTTTATAATTAAATAATTTACTCTTTTTTTTCATACGTTTCTTCTATTTATTGCTTAATATGATTGTTAGGTACTTAAATAATTGTTTAGTAAACTAAAATTAGTCAAGAAATGATTGTTGAATCATGAAAATATCACCTGAAAAAGTGCCCCACGTTAGTCACCAAACAAAAAATTGTATTGATTTTTATTCAACACTTTATAATTCTTGTATTATTTCAATGCACAAATGACAAATTGCTTATTTCAATTGATAAATATTTAAATAAGTGTTTAGTATACTAAATCGTTTGAAGAAAAGATGAGATTTACTTTGAACTTATTGCTTAAAAAAATTGTTTATAATTAAACAATTTACTCTTTTCTTTCATATATTTCTTCTATTTATTGCTTAATATGATTGTTAAGTACTTAAATAATTGTTTAGTAAACTAAAATCAGTCAAAAAATGATTGTTGAATCACGAAAATCTCACTTGAAAAAGTGCCCCACGTTGGTCACCAAAATAAAAAAAAACAATTTCCAAACAATTCTTTCTATGTTTTTTTGATTATTATTACATAATTCATTAAACATACAATATTTAAAGCATATATAACAAATTTATATACTATTAGAAAAAAAAATGGTTGTAAAAAATATAATTTTTAAATTAATTTTAAAATTTTATAAATAAGTTAATTCTTTACTTTTTTGCTTAATATTGTTGTTATGTAGTTAAGTAAACTTCAGTTACTTAAAAAAATGATTGTTGAAAGATAAAAACTATGTGACTTACTTGAGAAAGTCCATTCGTCCACCTTCGACGTTCTTCTCGACGACATTCGTGATGCCTCCTCCTTCAATCGTTCCTTTAATCATCATGCCAACGCTGAGGATGATCATGGTCAATCCTTGCATGACGTCGGCGAGGATGGCTGCTTTCAAACCGCCCTGAGAAGAAGGAATGAAAGAATTTAGTGTGAAGATCAGATGGATGTGCATGTGTTTGAAGTGTTGTTTCAGGTGGATGGATGAGAAGCTCAATATCGACGGTGAATTATTATTATTATGATCCAAGTAGGTTGAGAGAGGCCCGAAGGGCTGCCCTTAATATTGCAATCGAAGGTTCGCTCAGGGGATGGATGCATAATTAATCCTCGCAACGTACGACGAGATTGTTTACCAAACCTGGGCAAACTAATCGTCTATTAGTCGCAACTTCAATACATAATACTTGCATATAGACACTGTAATTACACCCCTACATTGTACATTAATAGGCCTTCAATGTCTCTCCTCTCTCTGAACTACATAGCTAATGAAGAGCAAGTGAAGCGATGGGAGGCAAAAAACTAAACAGCAAAATCAGCAGATAAATTAGTGAAAACTATGGTAAATGTAGTCGTTTTTGATACAATTTCATTGCGTTTGCAATTTCGTATTAATCTGTATATAGTCTTACAGTTTTATGTAAAATATTAACAGAGGAGAAACAAAAATCAAATTTCCAACAAAAGCAATAAGAAAATGAGAGAAAAATGTTAGTTTTTGACAAAATTCTATTGTAGTTTGTTGAGTTCTGAAATTTTCTATTGTACTGGCTAAACTTTTATAGTTTTCTTTAAAAATTAAAATTGTAATAAAAACCATAAGGAAATGAGATAAAAATGATTACTTTTGGACAAAATTTCATTGTTTAAATTTTTCTATTAAACTGGCTAAAGTTTTATGGTTTTATATATTAAAAATGAAGCAAAGAAACACAATTGTTTATTACAACAAAAACCACAAGAAAATGAAAGAAAAATTATTAGTTTTTGACAAAATTTTATTGTAGTTTGTTGAGTTCGATGTTTCCTATTAAACTGGCTAAAGTTTTATGGTTTTATATATTAAATATGAAGCACAGAAACACAGAAACACAGATAAAAATTATAACCAAAAAGCACAGGAAAATGAAAGAAATTTCAAAGTTGTTTGTTGAGTTCGTTTTTTTCTATTAAACTGGATAAAATTGTATAATATTATATTAAAAAATCAAGCATAGAAACGAAAATCTAAATTACAACAAAAAGCACAAGAAAATGAAAAAAATATTAGTTTTTAATAAAATTTTCTTATAGTTTGTTATATAAAAAGAAACAAGCAAATAATCAAAATTCTAAATTAAAATAAAAACCATTAGAAATTATTAGTTTTTGACAAAATTTTCTAATTTTATATTTTTATCTAAAAAAAAACAAAAACAGAAACAAAAATCAAAATAATTAGAATAACAACAAGAAAATAAGTGAAAAACTATGGTAAATGTATTGGTTTTTGATACAATTTTGATGCAGTTTGACGAATTCGAAATTTTCTATTAAACAGGCTATAATTTTATAGTTTTATACAAAAAAAACAAGCACAGAAACAAAAATCTAAATTACAATAAAATGGTAGAAAAAATCTATGGTAAATGGATTAATTTTCGATACAAATTCGATTTCAATTTCATTTTGTTACGTTCAAACTTTTGTCTTAAAGTTATAAAAGTTTTAATGAAAAAGAAAAACACAAACAAAAATCTAAATTATAATGAAAATGAAAGGTTTTTTTGTATTTTGTGACAAATTTTCAATGGATTTAATTTGTTAGACAATTTGATAGTTTATACAACAAGAAAATGAGAAATTTTTGTCTTTATGTTAAAAACAATAAACAAAAAAATGAGAGTTATTTATGTGTTTTTGTTTATAACTTTATATAAAACTTATTGCAAAGTTTTATAATTTTGACAGAAAAACAAAGCAAAATACAAATTGATATAAATTACAACAACATAAATGATAACTTAAATTGTTTCCAACTAAATTTCGTTGCAATTCGAAACTTTTGTATTAAACTTGTTTTACATATATACAATCCTCCGGACAATTTATACTTTTGAGTTAGAAAACAAACAGACAAAACTGCGAGAACTTCATCGCAGCAAAGAAAAAAAAACACTTTATAACTCTTCCTGCTTCTATTAAACCACAAAAGATGTACACATCGTTGTCTTCATACAAAACATACACAGACTTATCCTCTTTCGTATTACGCATTCAAATTTATACGAGGAATAATTAAATCCATCTCGGAATAATTATCGCGCTTTAAGATTTCCCCAGCATCCGTATTACATCCACGATATTTGACTTCAAAACTAAAATTTCAGATTATTCATCTGCACATTGCATAATACACTATCTTTTAATATAATTATTAAACATAAGATTTATAACATACTTTTTATACACAGTTATTTATCTTGATTTTTTTCAAAAAAAAATATATATCTTTTAACTATTTATTACAAATCTGAAAAATTTGCATTAATAGTAAATATTTGACTTCCAATTAGGTTTTTTTACATTAAAAATTATATAATTTCATTGATTGTAATCGAAATTATCAAATTTATATAATTTAAAAAAAAAATATTTTCGATGTTTTTTTAATATTAAAATTAAAGATTCATTTATAATCAAAAAACGACTTAATTTACATGAAATATAAACAAATATAATCGTTTATTTATCATAAATAATAATCGGATATTTTTGAAAGGAAACACCAAAGAATCAAATTTGAAACGAAAAACTATTGCGTTTTTAATTTCGTTTCAAATTTAATTCCATTGAAGTATTAGTATCAAATCATACTCTATTATTGTTATAAACCACAATAGAACTTGTATACAGCAAAATTCGATGCAAATCGTTTATTTTCTTCCAGTTACACGCATTAATTGCGTAATAGATTCGAAGAAAACACGAAGGAAGCGAAAAAAATAACGTAATTTTCCAATTGAACGAAAACAGAACTTCTGTGCATATGTTTATTTATGCATGATATATTTGTTTTATTACGCATTTAGTTGACATTCATATTGATGCGGTTTATAAACTTGAGCGATTTATTGTGTTTGTATTCAATATAAATGTACTAGTAGGAAATGTATCAATAAACAAGAAAAAACTTATAATTACATCAAATATATAAATTATTTTATGCAGAATGTATAAAAAAATGTTAATTAAATAAATTTTTAACTTAATTAATGTATAATAATTCAATTATTTGCATAAAAGAAACCACAGAAAAACCACAGGTGTTGAACATGGATTTGCGGTTTTTCCTGATTAAAACAGTTGCATTTATTTAACACCTAATAAAGGATTGACCACAATCACTTTCTTTCATAAGGAAGCCAATAACCATCAAGACTGTATAATTTATACGTTTACTTTACATATTGTTAATTCTTTGAATGAGAAATAAAAATCTATTTTTATGTTTGTTTGTTTTAAATCAATTAAATTAATACAAGTTTTTTGTAAAATATTTATTAAATCCAATAAACTCATTAGAAACATTAAAATTTTATCTTTAATTTGCATATTCGTTGATGTAATTAGCGTAAGTTTTTATCAAGTAAAATATGAAAAACTTTTATGTTCGAAAATTATTGCTCAAATTCGACAACTCATTAAAGACGTATAGTATGGAACTCATATCTAATAATAGGATTTTTGGAAAGGCCATTTTTTCATCTTTAATTTGTTTACTCACTAATCTAATTAGCGTGCGTGGTTGCCAAATAATTAAAGGAAAGGTGAAGAATTGCAATAACATAGAAAAATCGTCACATCTCTGTCAATAATCAAGATTACGTAAGAGTAATTATATCAAAAGATACGTAATTTCATGCTTATTCAGCTGTAATTATGAAATTAATAAAAAAGTTTTTAATTTGTATGTTAATAAAAAAAAATATAAAAATTTTCAAAAAAAATTGCAAATATAAAAATCTTTGTTTATTTAAAAAAAAGGAGTAAATAAATGTAACAATATGATGAATACAATATATTTTACTGTACAAATAAAAATAGCTCGAAAAGGTCACCAAAGTTTATGTTTTTTTGCTCGTGTTTGAAAGTAACAATTTTTGAATTGAATTATGGAAAAATAAATTGTTTACATATTTCTACAAGGTTATTTTACTCTAATCTATATTCCGGGCATTATCATAATTAATTTGTTTCGAACGTGTTAATGTTCTCATTGTTTTCAACACTTCTTTAAGAGAATTACAATGAGTATTTTTTGTGCATCAAAAAACAAGTATTATTAACTGCTTCAAAGTTGGAATTAACTGAATGATTAACTGAAGAATTACAATGCTTATAGAAGAAATAATAATGATCAAACATAAATTGTAATGAAAATAATGTATTTTGTAGAGATTCTTGCATTCATGATTCGAATGAATGAATTGAATGAATCATCGTTTCTGTGGATTTCGGTGAAGACGTCACGCGATTTCTTGCGTAGGGTTTTCGTACATTTTTCATGCAGGAAATCGCAAGAAACGCAGCCTACTCTACAATCGTCAATTCACGCTTTACGTAATGTATTTCAATTAGGAATTAGTCTACAACGACGATGATGCGCATTGTTTGAATGAAACAATTCTGAAGGCGTGCAAAAATCTCTATTTTTTTTTAGATTTATTACGTTTTGTATGAAATAATTTGATTGTTAAGATGAATTTATTTCATAATTTTGATAATAGAATATTTGAAAATTGTGTTGTTACGAAAATATCCAAATTTTACGTATTGCACTCGAGGTTTTATAATATTTCTAATAGAGTATCTCATATTAAGAAAATTACATTTTTTACCCGTCTATAATACGCACTTTTTTGCTTCTAAAGAATGTCAATTTTACGTATTATACTTATAATCTTTAAGGTACTTCCAATAGTGTTTGAGCACTAGTTGAGTATTGAAAATTGCATCCTTTTACTCGTCTATAATACGCACTTTTTTCTTCTAAAGAATGTCAATTTTGCGGATTATACTTATAATCTTCAATGTACTTCAAATAGTGTTTGAGCAATAGTTCAGGTATTGAAAAATTACATATTTTACTCGTCTATAATACGCACTTTTTTGCTTCTAAAGAATGTCAATTTTACATTATACTTATAATCTTCAAGGTACTTCTAATAGTGTTTGAGCACAAGTTGAGTATTGAATATTGCATTCTTTTACTCGTCTATAATACGCACATTTTTTCTTCTAAGGAATGTCAATTTTACGTATTATACTTATAATCTTCAAGGTATTTCTAATAGTGTTTGAGCAATAGTTCAGTATTAAAAAATTACATATTTTACTCGTCTATAATACGCACTTTCTTTCTTTTAAAGAATGTCAATTTTACGTATTATACTTATAATCTCGTATTATACTTATAATCTTCAAGGTACTTCTAATAGTGTTTGAGCACTAGTTCAGGTATTGAAAAATTACATATTTTACTCGTCTATAATACGCACTTTTTTTCTTCTAAAGAATGTCAATTTTACGTATTATACTTATAATCTTCAAGGTACTTCTAATAGTGTTTGAGCACTAGTTAGTATTGAAAATTGCATTTTTACTCGTCTATAATACGCACTTTTTTCTTCTAAAGAATGTCAATTTTGCGTTTTACTTATTATACTTATAATCTTCAAGGTACTTGTAATAGTATTTGAGCACTAGTTTAAGTATTGAAAAATTACATATTTTATTCGTCTATAATACGCACCTTTTTTTCTAAAAAAAATATCAAATTTTCGTTTTATACTTAGAATTTGAAAGGTTCTTCTAATAGTCTTTGAGCACAAGTTCAATAATGAAAATTGTACTTTTTTACTCGTCAATAATACGCACTTTTTTTTTCTTTAAAAAGTGTAAAATTTTCGTATTACACTTAGAATTTGCATGGTTCCTCTAATAATATTTGAGCAGATGTTCAATAGTGAAAATTGCATTTTTTTTTGCACTTTTTTCTTCTAAAGAGTGTCAATTTTGCGTATGATACTTATAATTTGCAAAGTACTTCTAATAGTGTTTGGTTAGTTCAGGTACTGAAAAATTACATATTTTACTCGTCTATAATACGTACCTTGTTTTTCTAAAGAATGTCATTTTTGCGTTCACAAGTTCAATATTAAAAAAATACATTTTTTACTCATATATAATACGCACTTCAAATTAGTTTCTTAAGTGAATGTATTATTCTCGAGATTTTATGATTGTTTTAATTGCATATATGAGCACTTGTTCTATATTGAAAATCTCTCTTTTTTGATAAAATAAGTTCAAATTTTGGGTATTATACTCGAGATTTGAGGGTAGGTAGGATATAGTGGAAATTATATTGAAAATTCCTATTTTTTCTTTGTTAAAATAAGTATAAATTTTATGTACTATACTCGAATTTCATGGTAGTTTTATTTAAGTATATGAGCACTAGTTCAGGTATTGAAAAATTACATATTTTACTCGTCTATAGTACGCACTTTTTTGCTTCTAAAGAATGTCAATTTTATGTATTATACTTATAATCTTCAAGGTACTTCTAATAGTGTTTGAGAACTAGTTCAGTATTGAAAAATTACATATTTTACTCGTCTATAATACGCACTTTTTTTCTAAAAAGTGTCAAATTTTCGTATTATACATATAATTTGCAAGGTACTTCTAATAGTATTTGATCACAAGTTCTATATTGAAAAAAATACATTTTTTACTCGTATATAATACGCACTTCAAATTAGTTTCTTAAGTGATAGTATTATACTCGAAATTTTATGATTGTTTTAATACAATATATGAGCACTTGTTCTATATTGAAAATTCCTCTTTTTTGATAAAATAAGTGTAAATTTTGCGTATTATACTCGAGATTTCATGGTAGTTTTAAATAGAATATAAGAGCACTTGTTCAATATTAAAAATTTCTCTTTTTTTTTTGTTAAAATAAGTATAAATTTTATGTACTATACTCGAATTTCATGGTAGTTTTATTTAAGTATATGAGAACTTGAAAATTCTTCTTTTTTTCTTAAAATAAGTGTCAATTTTGCATTATACTATAGTAAAAATTGTAAATATTCAGAATTATAGAGTAATTTCTAATAAAATAATGTAATTATTATTGAATTACTATTGTTGCTGTTGTATTTGAGTATTATATATTGTTGTTTGCGCAAATTGAGCGTTTATCAAAGTGGATAAAAGCGATGCGCCCCAGGGATGTGTGAGTATGTTAGTGCGGCAGCAGCAGCAGCCCAACTCTGATTATCGTTCCAAAATAAATTAATAATTAATTGTAATTTGCTATGGGAATGCTTTAAATATTTTAGTGCAGAGCACGTAATGAGCACCGTGCGAAATTAATTTTTGCTGCATTAACTATACGACCCATCACATCACACAACGGCCATTCAAAATAACAGCGAATTCAATGAGTTAGAGAGAAAGAGATAGAGCGAGAGAGATTGGATGCATTTGGCGCGCCCCAATTCCGATTCAAATTCGAATTCGATTACCTTTTAATACTCTCTGTCTGCGTTTTAGAAGCGCGCAATCAGCGACAGGTAATTAAATTCGCGATTAATTTTACATTGTTATTTGATCACAAACAAAAATATATGTATATATAACACAAACGTACATAAATTTATGTTTCATATGCATTCATTGGATCCATTCAATCTATTATAGTTTACCAGAAAATCAAGAAAATATCGAAATTTTTTTCAGCGTTAATTTTTCTTTTTTTTAAACTTTGTACACGAATTACAGCCAAATAGATGAAATCACAGTAATATATGAATACTCGCTACATTCCGCAAAGATCCAGCTTTAATATGCAACTTTTACATTCATTCAATCTATTATAGTATTCAAGAAAATTACTAAAATGTGAAAACACTGCTTTTTTTCGAGCGATAATTTTACATATTTTTTTTTCAATTTTGAACTCGAAGTACAGCCAAACGGATGAAACCACAACAATGTATGAATACTCGATAAATTCCCCAAATATCCGTCATTCATATGCATCTTTTAGATCCATTCAATTTATTATGGAAAAACACTACAACGTGAAAATCATTGCGTGCGTATAATAGTCTAAATATTTTTATATCGCAATGCAAGAAAAATGTTCGTTTTGTATATTTTTCCATGTAAAATATCGAAAAATTATCGGAATATCTATATTTTCCAATAAATAAAAATGATACGCAGAAAATAGTTTCTCTATTCGAAATATTCACATGCAAATATTTTATATGGAATGTATTACTTCTTTTTTTGTTATCTATTTTTTTTTAACTGGAAGGTTTTTCCACTTTTCCTGAATAACTTTCATTCTTATCAACTGATTAATATATATTTTTTTAAATTTTATGCTTTGTATAGATTTCTAATATAATTATTTAATTTAATGACAAAATTTTAAATTGAATCGAAAAAAAATCTAATTATATCCATTTATTATTTGAACCATTAATGTTCTTTACATAATCCATAAATTTCCTAAGAAGATTCCTCACAATTTGATTACGTATAATCAAAATCATGCGAAATCTAATTGATTTTTTTTTCTTGTTGTTGTTGCTGTTTCGTGCTACTTTGCTGATTAATGCCGACTCGTCGTTTAATGCACTAAATCTTAATTAGATCGAATTAATCTTACTCAGCTGAGAGCCAAATCCGCGCTTTGAGTCCTCTCCCCCCGTCCCAAATCCCACATGATTTATGCAGCAATGAATTATTGAAAATTTTAAATTATAAACAAATAATAAGTAATTATTCATAATTTCACTAATTTCTGTTTTTATAAACAAACTCAATACCTTTTAATTAGTTCAATATTAAACATTTTTTTGTTTGTTTCGAAAAGTTGTTGCTCTTTCTTTTCGGGGGTGGCAAAAAGTTCGTCGCTCGATTTTCGAAACTTTTCAAGGATAATTAAATTTCGTGCGACGTCCCAAAGTTTCGCAACGGGATGCAATTATATTTAAATTAGGCGTTTTATGTAATGAGCATCGATTGGGCAGAGAGTGAGTAAAAAAAAAGTTTCCAACGTAATCGTGATTACGCAGAAATCCTTAACCCTCGAAGTTAACCAACTCTGAAGAACGGCCATTAAAAAAGTTTATTTTTTAACAGTTTGTAACAGTTGAGTGGAGTATCGTACACATTTCGTAGTAGGCTTGTTGGAAAGATCGCACTTTTATCTTTAATAATCAGTTTAAATTATTTAATTCGTATGCGTAATTATCGAATAATCAATTAAAATGTAAAGATCGACAATGTTGAAAAATTGTCAAATGATGCAGAAATTAAATACACAAAGATGAATTGATGAAGTTGTGAAGACTTACCAGAATTGTGAATATGATGCTGACGATGGTGATGCCAAAAATTGAGGCCCAATAGGGAATTCCAATGACTGTGTAAAGGGCGACGCAAGGTGTGAACACGGTGACACCTTGATTGAGGAGTTGCCTGACGATGTAAGTTCCCGAAGCCAAACACCTGACCAGTCTGGATTTGAACCTCAAATCCAAGTATTGGTAAACGGAGGTGATGCCCAGACTGAAGTAGACCGGTACGAAGATGAAGCAGACTATGGGATAAGCTAAGATCATCCCGTACAGCGTCTCCCACATAGCGCTGCCTCGATAGAAAAGCTCGGAAGGATATCCTGAAAAGAAGAATTTCATGTAAAGAAAAAAAGAGAGACAATTCTCCAGGCATCTGCACAGTCCCTCAAGTGGATGTTTTTCATGCAAATTGAGTGCTTATTTTGCAGAGACTGTTAACTCACCCAGAAAGGATCTGACGCCCAGCGTTCCTCGAGCTATACTCAACATCATGGCACCCATGGAAACTTTACCGGCTGCGAAAACATAATCAGCTTTGGTCTTCTCCTTCGCACCGAAGAACCTCGAGTATACAGCGACAAATGTGCTGGCTATAACGAACACTATGAAGACCATGTAGTCCCATAGCATATTCTTAGTATCAGACATCTTGATTTATTCTGTAAATAATTAAAAAAAAAACATAATTAGTTTATTATTTTTTTATCTTGGTAAATGTTTATTATAATTAGTTTATTATTTTTTTATCTTGGTAAATGACATTTGTTTATTTGTTTCGTTGTTGTAGTTACGTAATTTTTGTTTTTATTTTGTTTCATCAAATATAAGACAAATTAGGATAGAAAAAACAATTGATCATCAAAGTGCATAATTTGTGCAAATTTGGGAAGGCAAGATTTCATATAACAGGAATTTGCACAAATTATTAGAAATATTTCCAAAAATAAATTTCATTTGTATATCAAATTCTAATCGA